ATATATATATTTTCTAAACGGTTTGACGGCTCCCGTGATTTTGATTTATAGAAATGTAACAGAAGCTCAAATATCTGCAGTCTGGAGAAACCGCTGACAACGCCCTGGTAGAACCGGGGTGGGGGGGAGCGGAGTGGAGGGGCCCAAAAAGCTCGCCTGCCCTGCCTTTCCAAAGCCCCTCCTCGTTCTCGGACGGTTTCTGGAATAGCAGACCCTCTGAAACACAGGAGGAGCTGCGGAGGCCTAGGTTTTCCTGTCTGGGAGAGCGTCTATCAAACTGGGAGGGGAAGGACACGAAGGCGGGAGTGGTTTTATGTGAGGGATGTGCCTTCCTGCGTGCTTCATGCTTTCGCCCGAGAGGAATGAAGACAGCTAATTCTTCCAAGGTTTCCCTCTGTGCAAAAGTGAATTACGGTCCCCAGAAGGAATGTGGAAACTTGCTTTACGCTTCATATTTTACAAGGCAGCGGCGGGGGTGGGGGTAAGAGAGAGAGAGAGAGAGAGAGAGAGAAAGAGACGCGGGCTGAACATAATAATAATAATAACAATAATAATAAAAACAACAACAAGAACAACAACAATAATAATAATGGCATTCTTGATGGAGAGAAATGAATCTTGTAGGGTTGGCAGGTCTACTTTTTTTGGTGTTTGCCCGGTTCTGGTATAAAGCTGGAGGCAGCAGAGGGACAGCTGCATTCTCAGCCCTTCAAGGAGGCCGATATGCAAATGGAACCTGGAAGGAACCAACGTCCAGAGTCACCAGGTGTCTTCTGGATGCCATTCAAGATGTGGTGGTCGTCCTTGATGTCCGACATCAGCGGTCCTCAAACTCGACCGCTTTAAGACGGGTGGACTTCAGCTCCCAGAATTCCTCCTCCAGTCATGTTAGCTCAGGAATTCTGGGGGTTGAAAGTCCACTAGTCTTGAACTTGACAAGTTTGGAGGCTCTTGTGATAGATGATAGATAGGTAGGTAGGTAGATAGATAGATAGATAGATAGATAGATAGATAGATAGATAGATAGATAGATAGATAGATAGATGAGAGAGAGAGAGGGAGGGAGGGAGGGAGAGAGAGAGAGAGATACGATCGATAGATAGATAGATAGATAGATAGATAGATAGATAGATAGATAGATAGATAGATAGATAGATAGATAGATAGAGGGGGGAGATAGGTAAATAGGTAGGTAGGTACGGAGAGGCGGAGAGGGGATGATAGATTGATAGACAATAGACCAGGGGCCTTCAAACTTGACAGCTTTTAAGACTTGTGGACTTCAACTGCCAGAATTCCTCCTCCAGTCATGTTAGCTCAGGAATGCTGGGAGTTAAAGTCCATAAGTCTTAAACTTGCCAAGTTTGAAGGCTCCTGTCCTACATGGTCATGTAGGTGAACCATGGGCCTTCCTTTTATGACTTGTGACTCCTGAGCCAGCATTCTGGGAGTTGAAGTCCACAAGTCATAAAGGGGCCAAGGTTCCCCAGCCCTGGCCTAGACCCTGGAGATGGCCTTCTCTTAAAGCCCCCTTTTCCCCCAACTTTGTCCACTTGAAGATGGATGGACTTCACTTTCCGGAATTCCCTGACTGGCTGAGGAATTCTGGGAGATGATGTCCCCACGTCTCCAAGTGGACAAGGATGGGAAACACAATCTCAAAGGCTTCTGCCCGGAATCTCACGTTCTTTCGAGGGTCCTTCTCTTAAAAAGTGTTCAGGTCACGCAAGGAAGCCATAGTGGCCCTTCCTACTCACACACAATCACACAGCTCCCACTTTTAAGTCCTGAAAGAAGTACTGATGCCTTTACTGTGGAGTTTTTTTTTTCTTTTTTAAACTCCCTGTCTGGTGTGTGTGTGTTTTAAAATAAACTTGAATAAATTATGATTATTGGCTTTGGCAGCGCGACTCAAAGCAGGGAGAAACACCCCCCCACCCCCGATAATTCCAGAAATTATTGTATGAATCACCAGAAAGTCAGAGTTAAGGAAGAGTTTCTCCTTAAAATAACACAGGTGCCAGAGAGAGAAAGAGAGAGGAAGAGAGAGAGGAAGAGAGAGAGGAAGAGGGGGGGGGAAGAGAGAGGGAGATAGGGAGAAAGAGAGAGAGAAAAAAAGAGAGGGAGAGGGGGGTAGAAAGAGAGGGGGGAAAGAAAGGGAGAAAGAGAAAGAGAGAGTGGGAGAAAGAGAGAGAGAGGGAGAGAGAAAGAGGTGGACCAACTGGGCGAGAACTGTTAAGAGCGGCCGTGTTGATGGGAGCTATTCATGCGCGAAGAATTAGCACCTTCACGCCCAAAGTTGGTTCTGTATTTTTGTGCAATGTGGCCAGTTTGCGGGAGAGGAAACCAGGATTTAAATACAGATGGGGGGAAAAAAAACATACAAGAATTTCAAAACTACATGACTTACGACAACGGAGCACCAACTTCATGCCGCTAAAACAAGACGTTTGTTAAACGGGTTTTGCCCCCACTGGGCGGCCTTCCTCGCCAACAGTCGTTAAGTGAATCACTGCAGTTATGAATCTGGCTTCACCCCCTTGGACTTTCGTAGTTGCCGAAAGGGGATCACGTGACCTGGGACGCGGCGACTGTCGTAAATACGAACCAGAGGCCGAGCGCCTGAATTTTTAATCCCGTGATTGGCTGGGATGCCGCAACGGTCATTAAGTGTGGGAAATTGTGGCATAAGTCTCCCTTTTTCAGCGCCGTTGCAACTTCGGTCACTAAAGGAACTGTTGTCAGTCGAAGACTCCCTGTTCCCCGCTAGAGGTTAGGTGAGTGTTTCTCAAACGTGGCTCCTTCCGGAGGCGTGGACTTCAACTCCCAGAATTCCATAGGTGGCTGGCTGGGGAATTCTGGGAGTTGAAGTCCACACTTCCCAAAGGGGCCACGTTGGAGCACATGGGACCAGGTGCTGCTGGAAGAAGAGGACCCTCTTTTGATGGCCAGGCCTCGTCCCGGACCACCGGGGTGGGGGGGGGGTGCCCTACCTGCCCTCTTCCTCGGGAAATTCGCCAGCCGCCGCCGCCTTCCTGTTGTTCTGGCAGGGCTCCTCGCCCGGGCGATGCTCTGGGTTCGAGAGCTTCAGGACGAGGCGGTTCTGCTGGACTTCCCAGTGATGGGCGATGTTGGAGATGGTTAAGCGTTTCTTCTCCTGGAAAAGGGACGGTTGGGAGAGATTAGCCGAGGGGGGCCGGTTTGAAAGAAACACCCGCTTGAAAAGAGACTCCGGGATGATCGCGGTTTACACCCCACCCCCCCGGCCAGGTCGAAGTCTACAACACGGGAGGAAGAGGAGGAGCCGGGCAGCTTTGAAAAGGTCCAGGGAATCCCTGAATCCCTGAGCAGTTTCGACAGACAGGAGTGTTTGCAGGTCAGGTGTGGACCAGGGGGTGGGGGTGGGGGGTCCTTGGAGCTCTCTGAGGTGGGATGGGAGGAGGAGGAGGAGGAGGAGGAGGAGGAAGCACTGTGGGGTCCTTGGTTCTCTCTGAACTTGGCTGTTTTCTTGCAGGCGTTTCATGACCCAACTAGGTAGCATCATCAATGCTAGATGGGAGGAGGAGGAGGAGGAGGAGAACTGTGGGGTCCTCAGTGATCTCAGAGCACCGGGTTTTTTGCAGACATTTCATGACCCAACTAGGTAACATTAACAGTGATACAAAAGAGGGGGTGTGAGGAGGAGGAGGAGGAGGAGGAGGAGGAGGAAGCACTGTGGGGTCCTTGGTTCTCTCTGAACTTGGCTGTTTTCTTGCAGGCGTTTCATGACCCAACTAGGTAGCATCATCGATCCTAGATGGGAGGAGGAAGAGGAGAAGTGGAGGAGGAGGAGAGGAGGAGAACTGTGGGGTCCTCAGTGATCTCAGAGCTCCGGGTTTTTTGCAGACATTTCATCACCCAACTAGGTAACATTAACAGTGATACAAAGGAGGGAGTGTGAGGAGGAGGGGGAGGAGGAGGAGGAGGAGGAAGCACTGTGGGGTCCTCGGTACTCTCTGAGCTTTTTTTATTTTTCCAGGCGTTTCATGACCCAACTAGGTAACATCATCTGTAGGGCTGTTACTGGAGGAGGAAGCAGGCCGCGAAGCCACGTTGAGAGGGAAGGAGACGGTGGCGGGTGAGCATCACCTGCCTCTACCACCATACGAAAGAAAAGGCCCCTGGCTTTTCTAACCAGGATTCGAGGCTTGTTAAGCTGGCGCCGTCGTGAAGATACCTTCAACAAGGTCTGCCTGTGACTCTCACGCCTCTTCTCTTCCTCTTTTCTTAGGGCAACGGATGCCAGGCGCCGCTCCTCTTCCTGGAGTCAAAGACAAACAAAAGACAAGCAGCCGCTTTTCCCCCAGGCTCGCAAAGATAGGACAGGGGTCCATTAAAATCACAAATTAATGTATATGCGATATGTAGTACTTAGGAGATTATTGCTATTAATCTGGAAAGTGATAATTTAAAAGGATTAAATTACGGTAATTTTTAATATGAGTTAAAGGAGAGTAAACTGAGGGACATATAAAAGGGTGGTACACTCAAATTGGCAATTAAGGGGAAAATGTTTGAAACTATTTAAATTAAGATGGAATTTATTGAATTAACGAAATAAGAGCAAGTGATGAAATTGCAAATATGACAGACGAAAGCATAATAACGAACATAGAATAAGATACAAGAATTTTTAGATACTATATAAAGAAGATATGAGCACAATTAAAGAAAAATGGAATAAGCTATGAATTGCAAATGGATAAAATAAGTGTAAAGAATATAAGAATATTTGTTATAGAAAATGGAAAAAGTAATGATAGGATAAGAAGCTGAATATGGAAGATAATTATGCAATTAAGGTCATGTTTGTATGGAAATGTAAAAACCTGGAACCATATTGCTCACCAAAGGAGATGTTTGTAAAAGATAAAAATAAAAAAAAATTACAAAAAAAATCAATCATCGTGAATTAATACCTTTATTTATCAAGAGTAAGACTCCCTAGTCTGATTTCCCCACCAAGGAAGGAAGGAATTCCTCTGCCTCCATTATTCTACCCTAGCAAGATGGATGATCCTTTTGTTTTAGTGGGGAGTTTACTGGAGGGAAACAAATATTATAATCCCTTAATATAAATGCTGAAAATACAAACATTCCGCTTCCTTTTCAGCTGGCTCTTAAGCCAAACAAGAGGAAAGAACAGGAGTTGCTAACAGGGCAAAGTTTTGAGAATAACAGTAATTGGACAAAACAGTCATTTTTTTATACCATCACATGTCAGTCCCTCCCAGCCTCCAAAATGGTTTTGGTCTGAGTGTGTCTCTCCCAAGAAAGAAACCCTCAAAATGCACTTCCTTTAAATTTTCCGCTGCCATTCTTCATAAGGGGAGATCTTTCCCAGAAAGATCAATTAATATTAATAAGGGCTTTTCTAATGTTTCGGTCCTATACTGGTTATCTTTAAAGAAAGAAAGAAAGAAAGAAAGAAAGAAAGAAAGAAAGAAAGAAAGAAAGAAAGAAAGAAAGAAAGAAAGAAAGAAAGAAAGAAAGAAAGAAAGAAAGAAAGAAAGAAAGATATATAGATATGGATTAGATAGATAGATAGATGATAGATAGATATACAGATAGATAGATAGATAGATAGATAGATAGATAGATAGATAGATAGATAGATAGATA